TTGTGGTTGTAATGTGACAAAATATGGAAAAGTTCAAGGGGTATGAATACTTTTGCAAACCACTGTATGTATGAATCACTTGGGTTGTTACCGACTTCTGGTGAAAATTTCATGTCATTAGCACCTCTAGTAATATATTTACTGAGAAAAATGGTGACGTGTTCAATACTTATTTTACCTAAAGTAAATTATTTCTATGAACACACTGAGCACCAGTAGTTAGTCCTGACTACATCAAATGATATTTTTACTTTTCGTCCTCCATTTGTGGCACGCCCAAGATGGACAGCGCCCTTAGAATTTGCCTACACTGCCTAATCTACAGGCCGGCCAACACCAAGAGACTCGATGATGATAAAATAATGAAAATAACATTCAGTATTGGTCCTAATAGCAGCATAAGAATTAAGAAATGACCAAACCTATTTTTTAGATATTATAAAAAGTATTTACTTTGTAATTGGTTAAAAGAATTTCCTACATTTAAAAACATTTTGGTTTCAAAAGTGCTGAGATATAAAGTATCCCTCAAAAATTAAAGAATACATTTCTATGATTAAAATAGAATCAGTGTAAATAATTAAATCTGTCTAATGTCTTCAAATCAACATTCCTAAAGACAAATTGGTTTGATGTTCAGTTAAATTGATCCTCAAGGATTTTATCTGTTTTATTGAGACTGAATTTATTATTTGTTACTTTGTACAGTTCTGATGTGACTTTTGTTATGAATTATTACAATAAAAATAAGCTGTTTAAAAAAGGTTAAGTGGATAATCAGGTATTTCATTGTCATTAAACTGAGAATTTGTACGTTAGTTGTACACAAGTAGGTTTCTATGGTTTTGCACATCACAACCATCTTTGTTGTTTTACAACAAACTTCCTCCTCAGTTCTCCTCCAGTTACTCACTGTAATGGTTGTCAATGACGTAGGGCACGTAGACTTTTCCATCTGCAGATTTGGGCCACATACAACCACGAGACGTGCACTGATCAGCGTTCCTCTCATCTGCAGAGTTATAAGCGATGTCATCGATGACCAGAGGCTCGTCCTCAGTGTGCACTGTGATGGAACATTTAGAAACATTACACACATCTTCATGAACTGTCGTTACGATAGCTATGATTTCAGCTACATTTGGATAATAAATAATATAACAATGACATATGGGTCCATTCTCTTTCTATAAACAGAGGTTTTAATTTTATATCTTATTAATTATTAATTAAAATTTCTCTCCTGATGACTTTTGAAATAAGATCACGTCAGGCTGGGAGGAGGCGGAGCTTTATCTGATGAGTATTTCCTGAACATTTCATATAAATCTGTGGTTAATGAGATATTTTGCTAACAGCCAGCCAGAGTTGTTTCTGAAAAAGATAATGACACAACTTTAAATCAAAGTTTTGTGTAATCTGTCAGTACTCAGAGTAGGTCTCAGGGATTAGGCTCCACTGCCACAACACCAGGTTTAAAGTCTGAACAGTTTCTGTCTGATAAACTTAAACCTCGTTATGTTTTTATTTTAAAGTCAGCTGGCAGCCAGGTTCATTAACATTAACCAGTTTAAAATAATTCTGACAATTAGTTCATGAATTGGTTCAGAAAAACTAATTAACACGCTCACAAAACATCCTCGCTTTACCTTCAGTGGAAAAACTTAAATTAACCTGTTGAACATGTGAAATGTGATTTTGAAGAACTGTCAGGGTTAGTTGTAGTTGTTAAGAAAAAATAAATTATTTCAGGGTTGACTGGACTTTGGTTCGGTTCAGAACTGAACTGAACCAGTGAAGCTCAAGTTAGCCTCTAATCCAGATCGGTTTTATTTGTTGAACTTCAGCCAAAAAGACAAAACTCTTAAATGTGATTTTGTTGACTCTGTGGTTTTTAGAACAGAACAACACATGGTGATGAGTCTTACCCACGTCCTTGTTGGCTCTCCACAGCAGCTCAGAGACAGACAGCTCCTAGGTCAAACAGAGGACACCAGAGGGACAATCACCGAAAATAAATTATTGTCAAATAAAAACAGTTTGTGGATCGAAAAATACAAAAGTACAACATGACAACAGAGCTGCAACAGAAATCTGAAGATGATGGTCTGTGTGTGTGTGTGTGTGTGTGTGTGTGTGTGTGTGTGTGTGTGTGTGTGTGTGTGTGTGTGTGTGTGTGCGTGTGTAATTGTTTCTACCACAGAGTGAGGACCATTTCTGCCATAGTTACTATCAAAGTGAGGCCTTTGATGAAGTGAGGACCTCTTCAATGTCCTCACTTTGTTTGCAGCTCTGCTGTGCTTTACTAGTTAGGTTTAGAGGTATGGTGTGACTTAAGTTCTGGTTCAGGTAAGGGTTAACTATAGACCAGTAATGGTTAATTTTAGGGAAAATGTCTGGGTTAGGTATAAATACAGTTACCAAAATGAATGGAATTCAATACAATGTCCTCAGTTTGATGCAAATACAAGGATGTGTGTGTGTGTGTGTGCCTGGTTTTGTTACCTATTTAGGACCTTGGAGAATCACTGTCATGATCTGTGTCTTTGCTTTAGTTTTCTAGTGTTTCAGTGTTCCCGTGTATCCTGCCCTGCTCCAGCCCCGCCCATGCTCACCTGTTTCCTCTTGTGTCTCCTCCAGGTGTTTCTTGTTGACCTTAATTTGTTTGCCTTTACATTCTGTGTCCTGTGTTCAGTCTGCGTCCGATCATTGTATTGTGCTGTCATCAGCCAGTGTTCTGTGTCCCCCCCCCGAGAGGATTCTGTAAGTTTTGAGCTGCCTAGCCAGCCCTTTTGTTTATCATTAAAGCTTTTTGTTCCCTTTTGAACCTGCCTGCGCTCTGGGTCATTCTGCCTGCACACAACCTCGCAATCACCTGCCTTGTCAGAACCAGCATGAGCAGAGGTCCCTGACCATAGTCCTGGTGGACCTGCATGTTTCTTTTGTCTCCCTGCCTCAACTGACTGAAAATACTGATTTACCTGCAGCTCAGAAAGTCTTCAAGATAAGCAGAAACCAGTCAGCAACTTTGTTCCATCAGGTGAAACGTGTAAAACAGGAAGGACAGTGGACCACCAGGACCACCAGGGACCTCTGAGGACTGAGTCTTGATAATTTTTGTATAAACCTCATGTATAAACGGTGCGTGCGCACAAAAAAGTAACGTGCGCCAGGTTCTACCCCCACGCTGGGATGTACAAAAACCAACGTTGTGCGAAAGTGTGCGTATATTTATGCACACTTTTCACCTGCCGTGTGAATGTGCGGCAGCCACGCAAAGTTTTTTAGTACACAGTTTTAACCCACAAAGTCACAAACTATCACAAATCCAATTCTTACTTTACAGAAAAGAGCTATAAGAATTATTACTAGAAAATAATTACAGCCGTCCATCGAATATATTGTTTTATGATTTGAAATTATTAGAATTTTTTGATTTAGTTGATTATAATATTTTACTATTAACGGACAGAGCTCATAAAGCTGTCTTACCTTTCAACATTCAAGTAAATTTTGTTAAAAGACAGAGCTGTTATTATCTTAAGGGAATAGAAATGTTTCAGAAACCTTGGTTTCGTACGAGCCTGAAGGAGCGATCCACTTTAATCCAGGGATTAAGATTATGGGACAGCATGGATGATGAGGTTAAAAATGTCAGATCCTTGTATATAATGAAGAGAATGATAAAAAACTAGTTTTCTGAAGAAAAATGGAGAAGTATAAGTGAATTCATGCTAATTGTTTTTTGAATCGATGTTTTTTAATTTTTATTTCATTTTTAAATGTTTTAAGTTGTTTTGATTTTTGTTGTATTTTAACTTTTCTTTT